TCTCTCTCTCTCTCTCTCTCTCTCTCTCTCTCTCTCACTCACTCACTCACTCTCTCTCTCGCTCTCTCTATGTGTATGTCCTCGTTTCCCCTCTTATCATGTTCTTCGGTCGCTGTTTTACCCCTACTTTGTCTGTACGTCGCCTCTTTCACCCCCAGCTCGGTCGTTTCTGAAGGGGTAGCGCGCTTAAGCGCCATGAAGCGGCCACGGCGCGCCGACGGCAGCATGATCGAACGCGAAAATCTTCAACGACAGCCGCCCAAATGAATGGAATGCCGACCCACGCCTGGCAGCCGTCTGATAGGCTGTCGTCCCTCCGCTGCAGAGGGGAGAGGGAAGAGAGAGGGGGAGAGAGAGAGAGAACAAGTGAACGAGCGAGCGAGCCGAGTCGAGCCGAGCCCGATGAACGGGTGAGCCGAGGACGGGCTTCGCGTAAACGCTGTGCGGCAAGGGCCAAGGCCGTATCACTCGATGGCACGTCCTCCCGCATGCCTCGCTTTAACCCTTTAGCCGCGACCGCCGCACAATGCGACCGTGGTGTACGCGGTGTATGGTAAGACGCTCGGTTCAGCGGCTCTGCGGTTTATATTGGATGTTGTAACGCGGCTTTCACTCCGTCGAAATTTAGTGTAGCATCTTCTCGCGCAGTTTTTTGGATTTTTAACTTTGGATACACCTCGATAACCGGCTCTCGAGTCGAGATTCCGTTAAGGTGAGACTCGCGTAAAATTAGCCGATGAGGACGGGATTTCGTTATTTATTCGCTGATTCGTCGAAATCACTTCTCGATAAAGTAGAAGTTACTCCGCGGAGTATCTTTACGAATAAATCGCTTTAGTCTCGAACTTAGTTGTCGTGTACGCTCGAACACGTACATAACTAGAACAGGGAACTTTGCGGCGACGGCGATTGAAGCTCGAACAGTCGATTACAGTCTGTCAATGGTAAATCTTGACGTTATTACTTGTTTATTCGTACAGAAGTAATGATTCTTTCAGTGATATATTGCGATTGCATAGCACTTCCATTGATAATTTGATGCGACGCGGATAAAGAATCGAGAAAGCATCGGGGAAGATACTACCACAAGTTTTAATCTCATTTAACATTATAAATATTTCAAGTGTTGATATCCTAAGGCACTATGTAAATGTGTGTGTATGCGTATATATGTACACAGAAAAATATTCTACTGCTGGAAAAGTGATTATTAAGTTTATTTTCTTTTTTCGGAAAAGTAAGAAATATTCATTCAGTGGGCACTTAATATATTTTTACTTAAATATTACATATAACATATTATTATAAATATGTTACATTAATAATAGATAATTAATACACATTAATAACACATAACTAATAAAATATAATATATTTACTTATATTTCAATTCTTTTATTTAAATAGAATAAACAATTGATTTCATATATAAAGCAACATAGTGATTTTAGGAAAATACACATTCTCTAATTTAAAAGAAATTGTTTCTCAGTGTACATATATGTGCATTAGTACAAATAAATATGTTATTAGTACCCATCGAATAAGTATTTCTCATTTTTTTCGATATTTTTTCTTAATATTTTAAATTAAATTTCTTAAATTTTCTCTCAATATATCGACGTTATCTTCCAAAATTCAGTATCGCGAATATCTCTAGCGTCATATTATTTACCTATCATATTATCCCTTTCTGATTAGCATCGTATTCTTAATCTCCGATTAACAAATCCCGCGATTGTCCGACTTTTGTATTACTACTCGAGACGATGGTAAAAACAAGTATAAGGCCGGGAGCATACAGAAAAACCTGAGCAAATTGACCAACTATATGATTCTTCTTATAACACAACAAGATTAATTGATTGTGACTGATCATCTTATTGCTTACGTTTTTCCGTGTACCATCCGTAGAGACGCCGAGTCGACAGGTTATGGCAAGTACTGGTTGCACGTACCGAAAAAAGAAATTATTCTGTAATAATATACTCACGATATGTCTCGACGATCGCACATCGTTATTTTCGTCACTCCCAATATTGATTTCCGCGCGAGACTCACTTTCAACGGACAAAAGACGCATAAGCACGGAGCGACGTCAATTGATGTGCTAATGGCGGCTGCTGGATACGAAAAGATCGAAGATGGTCATACAATCGATCACGTACGCCCCGAAAATGCGTGTAACGACGCGAACGTTGCTACAACGACGCACTCTGTGCACTCAGTTTCGCGTATAATGTCATTCGATAGTTACTAAACGTTTGTGATCAATCACATTCGTATCTACTTACACGTTTCCCATGACTGTTAATTTATACAAAAAACGTTCCCGCTTTTTCGATTAATCGGCAAGAAATGCATATCTAGTTACGGATGCGGCCGATCAAAAACTTTTAGTAACTATCGATCTATAAATATGATAAGACATCCGCAAGACTAATTACATATATCGATATGATTCTTAAGTTTGCAGCTGATATCAATGTTCTTTTCATTTCGCTTTTCTTTTCAAAGGAAAATTTAAGTAAAAATTTAAGCCATTTATAAACAAAAATCCCTCTTCCCCTCTATATTTTTCTTTTCGTGTATTCACGCTTACTATATTGTCGTATTAATAATCGCAATGTAATTTCACCTCTTTAACAACGCTGCCTGCAGTCAATGCCGATGCATAGGCCTACGTTAGGGTCGCATACATGTGTACGTGCTTCCGTCGAGCGGCCGAGATTGATCCTGTGGGGTCATTGTTTTGTCATATATCTGGGAAATCGTTAGTGAGTATAGTACTACGTGTGCTGCATGGCTTAGGTGTACTACGCGAGGAAACATCGATACCATTACACAACCGCGTAGCACGCGATATGCCGTCTTATCGATCGCCGACGTCGGCGATAAGAATTGTACGATTCACAAGTAATCATTATCGGTGATTACATCTCGCGATGGGCCCGTCGAAAGATAACGTCTCACAGATCAAGTAGATATAACATTATTAAATGTAGATCTCCTTCCTCTTTCTCTCTCTCTCTCTCTCTTTCTCTCTCGACATCGTATTTGCGCTATGAATGCGGGCGAGCGTTAATTACGTGCGCACGTATGTCGTAAAATCGATAACTAAGGAAGTAAGTGGCGATATCAATCCGATCGAGAGAGAGAGAGAGAGAGAGAGAGAGAGAGAAGGAGAGAGAGAGAGAGAGGGGAAGGGAGAAATATGCAATCAGGTCGAGAAGAAACGAACGTTCGATGACGGGGTGACGGAATCGTCAGTGTCGGCCCTGCTGATGAGAAGCACGTGCACGCGAGTGTGCGTGCGTGTTGGAACGAGGCTCTTGCTCTCTCTCTTTCTCTCTCTTTCTCGCACGACTCGCGATAATACGCGCCCACGCACGCGTGAGAGAGCGAGCGTGTAGCGTGCGGCGCTCCGCTGCACTCCCCTTCCGCCGTTCCGTGGCTGTGCAGCCGCTGCTCCGACCCCTTCAACGACGGCTTAGTCAGAACCGACCCCCGACCCATCCACTACCCACGCCTCGTTAATGAAAACATCTTTTGTCAATGAACTGACGTCAGTCCGTGCGGCGATTGGACGGCCGCGCGGGCTCACGTGACCGTCGACGAATCGCGTCGCACGGTGATTCGGTTTCCCCTCTGCGCGCGGCGCGCTGAGCGCCGCTGTTCCATTCTCGACGAAGGGATACTCGAGGTAAGGTAAGGTGTGGCCTGTGTCGAGCTAGAGAGACGCGCGATAAGACGAGACGAGAGGAGAATCGTGAAAGCGAAACGGGAAGAAGACTGAGTGCGAGAAAGAAAGAGAGAAGAGCGGAAAGCGCGGGAGAAGGAAGGACAGTGATCTGTGACGTACTTCGTGTCGGTAGAGGAGCCGCCATCCTTTTCGCCGAACGAGTTCTGTAGACTTTGAGCCGTAGGGGAATCGCGGGCTTCCTCGGAGCGATGCTGGTGGGATTCGTGAGGTGAGAGGATTCGGACGTTGATCGGGATCACTGCGGCAGGAGGATCGTCGCGAGTCCGACGAGTGTCCGTGTGAGTGGGCGCGAAAACGCGGGACGATCGCGACGGGACACGCGCGGTCCAGCGCGTACGCGACGGAAGAGGAAGCTACACTCTGAAGTTGGGAGCGAGTGCGGTGCGGCTACTCGCGCGAAGGCGCGGAAGCGAGCGCGGCTGGCGGTGCGCACGCGAACGACGACGACAAGGATGGAACCACCGTTGCTGGCGCGCTGTGACGGGGCGAACTCGCGCGAGTTTCGAGTGTCGAGCGCGAGATAGAGCCGCGGCACGGTATACTTGGACATGCATCTCCCGAACGGCAAGCGTAAACATTCCATAGCCGTGCCGTTAATTGGACATGTCTTGATTCACGAAAGAATCGATAACCAGGACGAGCTGGCGGCGGCAACGGCAACGGCAGTGGTGGCGGCGGCGGCGGTAACGACGACGACGACGACGACGACGACGGCGGCGGTGGTGGTGGTGGCGGCGACGGCGGTGGTGGTGGAGGCGATAGCGGAGGGGGTGGAGGAGGAGGAGGAGGCGGAGTAGACACACACAGCGCGGCGTAGTGTCGCAGGAAATGATGGCAATGCGTGAGAACTCGTCGGACCGCGCCGTCGACGGGTGAATGTCGCACGCGCGATCGTCCCGGATGCCTCCTCCCGGGGAAACGCGTACCGCCACTCAACTCAAAGTGCCATTTCGTCATATCCAGTAAATATTAATCATAGTAAGACGCTTGTAACGGACGCGTACGCACTCACCAGGCAGCGCGGGCGTTTTATGTACATACACTTATATACAACTCGGTCACGACTTGGTGAACGACGTGTGAGACTGACGACAACGACGGCTTCCTCGATGCCGATAAGCGACCGCAGTTTCAACGTGTTAGGTGTGCTAGCTGTGGAATCGATGTGTCGTGCGAGTCGCTGTTTGGAAGCTTCGTCGAACGACGGTCGTTGGAACGATCGTCGTGGAATGATGCCTTGACAAGAGCCGCCGTGTATCGCTCGACGGTGGTGCTGTGTCCAGGAATGACAGAACTTCGACGCTGTAGAGGCTCAAGATTATCTCTGTGACGGAAATTCAGTGATTACACATCATACCATTGTACTCGGAGCTGTTTTTCAAGCAACAGGAGAGTGATTTGTTTTGAAGACAACAAATCACAGAAGAAACGTGCAACACAAGTCAAGTGAAAAACACAACATGCCGGGTGGTAGTGTGATAGAAGAAGACCTTCTGGGTCCAGAATGGCTGTTTAAAGAACTCAGATCGCAAGAGGGTCCCAGTAAGCTCCTTATCTTAGACTGCAGAGCACACTCTGACTTTTCTGATGCTCACATCAGAGGTTCTGTACCTCTAGCCATACCCAGCATTATGCTGCGCAGATTGGCTGCTGGTAAGGTGGACCTTTTGTCCACGATAAGGTGTTTAGATCTGAGAAACAGAGTGGAAGTGTTTCTGTGTGGAGATGAAGGCAGCAGAGGAACATTTGTATTAATTGGTGATTCTTCAGATCCTGCAGGCCATCAGGGTGAAACTATACAAGTTTTGAGTCGGAGACTTAGAAGCAGCGGAGGCAATGTTGCTATCTTAATCGGTGAGAAACAGATCATTTTATGAGAGATTTACTGTAACTTATCTCTTATTAGAATTATACTACAAGAAAGTATTCAAATTAGAGAAATTATTAAATTTACTTTAAACTAGAATACTTTCAATGTTTTATCTTTGAGAATAATCAGCTGTATATAAATTTGAAAGCTGCGTGTGAATATACATGCTAATATCAGTATTCAAATTATTTCCAACTTCTGATTAACTTTGGGAATCTTTGGCAACTATTTGTGTGATTAATTTGTTATTTCAGGGGAGATTTCTAAATTTAACTATGAAACATCGCACAATGTTTGCTAATTATAACTTTGCATCTGTTATTTTGTTGTCACATATATGTGTACAAGAGTAGCAGTTAGCACAAGAGTTAATAGCAGTATAGAGTGGCTTTCAGAAGTAACAGCTGAAGCATAGAGGCTGGTTGTGAATGAAATATTGATTTATGTGGGAGGCATTCCAGTAGAGAACCAGACACTTAATTCTATACCCAGGCTTTATCAGGCTTTAGATAAGACTCAGTCATTCAATGTTTTATTTGGCATAAGCAATTTACTGATTGCACATGTATTAATACATTGAAATAAGAGCAGCCAATGTTATTCTGTGAGTTAGATATAAAAGAATGAATGTTCTATATTTATAAATGTGCCATTTATTTTCCATTATTCTTTTCTGAAGAGAGAGTAAAGCATTGGTTCTTATTGTTTCAAGATAGAAAACTGTTTTGAAAAAAAGAATTCCTTTTGTTATTTCCATGATATATATTTTAAAGAAATATTATGAATATTTTCACAGAAAATTGTGACCAAACTTCAGATTAATTTTAACTTGAAATTTAAAATAATAATTTCAAACAAATATTGCTTATACTATGTTATATTTATTTGTAGGTGGTTTTGGAACATTCAGAGATAGATATCCAGAATGGTGTGAAGGTTGTCAAGCAAGTAGTGAATGTGCCCCAGGTCAGGACAATAATGATGGCGAATTAATGGGCCTTAGATCCCTTCGAATATCCACTCCACCAACTAGGTCCTATTCGGATTCTGATAGTGACAGCACGTGCGATTCAGTCGGTAAGCAAATACTCAAATTTATTCTCACTATGATTAAAAATAAGCGCGTATCATAATAAATAATAATACATAGTACTAAGTGATATAATGCATTAACAATAGTGTGCAATATTAAATTGTTATGTTTGCTCGCATTTCAGGTCCCGAGGAAGATAAAGACTTTCCGGTGGAGATTTTACCTCATTTGTATCTCGGTAATGCAGCTAATAGCGAGGATCGCGAGGCTTTAGCGCGGCACAGGATACAATATATACTCAATGTGACACCGGATTTGCCAAATGTATTTGAAAGTGCTGGTTCGATAAAGTACATGCAGATACCAATAAGCGATCATTGGAGTCAAAATTTAGCTAGTTTCTTCCCGCAGGCGATTCAATTTATAGGTGAGTGATAGCATGTCGATGTTTCTTTTTTTTTTTCTTTACAAATTTCTGTGTATATAAATTTAGAAAGATATAAGTATACTTTACGCGTCGTCGAATTTTACTTTAAGATTTGCGACATTTGATTTTATTATCTTCGAGACAAATTGTTTTTAGTAAACATATTTGTGAACACTGAGAAGATTCGCTCTTTTTCATTTGGAACTCGTTGCATGAAACGTGGCGTGTAATAGCGAATGTTTTCCACGAATACGAAAAGAGATTCCCAGCTATTAATTGATGTTACGCTTTTATTATATCCCCAATGAATGTCTCGTCATCGTGCTTCTCAGCTTCCTGAGTTTAGTGTACTTCGCACGTTCATAATACGCATTTATAACGTAAGTCACCTTCGTCACGCGCGATTCTAATAATAATTGATAATAGGATTGTCAGTCTGTGAGACTGTGCGAGTCTACATTTGCTGAAAATACGCAATAAAATTGGGGATTATATGAATCCTAAATATAAAAGATTTTTTACAAGATGTACACAATATTGATAAATATCTAATATTTGAAATTAAAAGCGTTTTATTGATTGTTAACAGAAGACGGTATTCTTTATATAACCGGTTTGCGGTTTGCGCGTTATATTATCTTAACGCACGTATAAGAAACGGCAGAATGCACGAATGACGCGAGCTTTATTTACCGCGCCGGAGCTTTTTCCGCATCAAAATCTCGACGTGGACCGCTTCTTAAACAGGATTTCCTGTTTAAGAAAGTCCCCGCAGCCTCTGAAAGGGGCATTCTTATAAATAGGTTCGCCTAAATAGAAACTTTCCCACGTGGCGGGCAAGCCGCACTAGACAATTAAACAACGGATGTCCGGTTAGGTCGAGAGCTATACTTAAGTCTGAATGGCGAGGCTTGGCATTGCTATTGGGCCGGTCTGGCACTTTTGACTGCCCCGACACGTACGTTTCACAGTTGGCAATCGATTTTCCTTTGTCCGCGCCGTTTATATGAATTTTTGAAACGACCCATGCATCTCGCTTTACTCGGCATTTTTGTCGCAATTTTCATTCAATTAATATCCAATCGATCAAAACACAACATAGTCAGCTCTGTAACACGATTATTAATTAATTCTACCTCTGATATTAGTTATACGTATATAACTGATTAAATAACAATGGTTATGTTTTAATTAATTTTGGCAATTGATTTGGCAAGTTCTAAACAAACCATTTATGTAACATATTTCATTATGTCGATATCTTTGTTATTATTTTTGATAATTGAGAAATTGTTTGTGTGGACTTCGCGAGCCACTTTAAAACGTACTTCATATTTCGTGCGTTTCGTAGCTTTGTGTTGTTGAAGAGAAGGAAGAAAACCGCTTATCACGGAAAATTAAATAGTTGAACACTTTATTCTCCAAATCTAATCAAAATCATAAGATTACGACGGTCGAGGTCATATTCTTCTTTTCTGTCTTTCAGAGGAAGCGCGAAGCTCAGACAAAGGAGTGCTGGTTCACTGTCTGGCCGGGGTGTCTCGTTCCGTCACGATCACCGTGGCTTACCTCATGCACAAGTGCAGTCTCAGCCTGAATGACGCTTTTAACCTAGTGCGTAGTAGAAAATCTAACGTTGCCCCGAATTTCCACTTCATGGAGCAGTTGCATAGCTTTGAACGAGAGTTGAGGGACCGCGGAGACCGGCACAAAGGCAACGACCAAAGGTGCATCGGATCCTGCCGACCAGACGGACCCTGCAACTGTCCGGCGCCTAGCTTCCTCAGCCCAATTGACCTGGGACTCAGTCCCGACTCGGGAATAGAGTTCGATAGGTGGGCATCGAGCACACCAGCCGAATGAGACGGGCCTGGGGGGACCCAATACAAGTTTTAGGTCCCTCCGCACACGCGTCGCACTTTAGGGAAGCCCTAATTGAAGGGTGGGATAAAAACGCGCTTTACATAACTGGTACGTAAGAGAGACAAGCATCGAAGAACCCCGCCTCCCCCACTCCTGTCCTCTTCCGATGTATTTTCAAATTAGGATATTAGACACGTTCAGTGAATACCAAGGAGAAATAGTAGCTCTTAGAGGCATCCAAAGTTAGTTAACTGCGCTGGCACTTCTCTTTCGTGATTTCTAGTTTCTTCCTGTCGAACCTCCCATTCCCGACGCGGCCGTATTGGTGGCTACGTTATTGCAAATGCGCGAATTACAAACGGTTACTTAAATTCTCGCTGAGTTGTGTGCCGATTAAAGATCAACTTCTAAAAAATGCGCGTGTGCACCGGGCGATACGTACTCGATACTCGACGGAGAATTTCTAAATCATTTCTATGAGATTGAACGAATTCTAGTGTACATTATGTGATTAGTTGCTTGATGTAAATGTAACGAAACCAAGTGTGCGGATACCATCGTCAAAATTTAGGGATTATTTAGAAATGAGAAGATTAATGTTCAGGAAAAAGAGGTATATATACATATATGCATGTATGTGTGTGTGTGTGTATGTGTGTGTGTGTGTGCGTGTGTGTGTGTGTCGCCGCAATTAGAGAAAAGAAAAAGAACCTGTCTCTTCGTTAGACAATTAGCTTTTCAGCGTGCGCGTTGAATAATGCGCCGCGAAATTCCAGCAGGGACGAAGCGTTTGTCCTGTTGAAATTTTCCATTACGAGGATCTGGCGCGTTACGTTACGGCCGTCGCGAATCACAGTAAATAACGATGCAGTCGTGTCACGTGTTAAGGAGATAATAGATATGACCGCTGATTTGCTAAAAAGAATAAAAAAGAAAAAACAGACGAAGCAAACGATTCTCTTTTCTGAGTTGTGGCAGCAATGGATACTGAAAGTATTTTATAAACGAGATCCCACACAACTTGTCATCGCGTGCGACCATGATCGTGTAATCGTAATTGTACATTCTGACGTTATGCTTCCAAGTCAAGAAACCTTTTAGCGTGTACGATATAAACGGTATTCGAGATATGTCGGATCCAGCACTGTGTACTCGCGAGGTATGATGAGGGTGAAACGTGTACCGCCATACCTCAAAAGAGAACATATATATATATATATATACACATACACACACATACATATATATATATATATATATTTTAATACTTCTTCCCCGAACCCCTTCAATTAATGAGGCTGTGTTTATTTTACCGCAAGCGATATTTCATGCGCGAAGTAATCTCTAACGACGAGTTCCCACCAGGCAATCACAAGTAGTCCAAGATAAACATCACTGCTTAGTATGCTAAGTTCCGAGGTACAAAATTAAGGGAGGTCCTATACGCACAGGGGCGAATTTAAGGTTTCATTGGGCGGGCAGGCGTCGAGAAAACGGTTCCAAAATTTCTCCTTTATGAAGGATCAACAGCTCGTTCAATAGTACTGATATGATTTTCCGACGGTACATTCGTTGATTTTGTGCGAATGTTTTTTCTCGGAAATCTTTTTCTGAAGATCTTTATATACTAGACAAAGGTCAAAGTTCGTTTCGGCTGATCCTTAAATCCGCCCCTTGTCTTCTACTCAACTGGTAGTTTGTAAAGAGATAAAAGGAAACTCGAACGGTAATTTTCGATGTAGTTTTTCGAACACACTGAAGTGACTTATCTCGCAAAGGATAATCTTCAATGCATTCTGACCTTCGAGATGCGCGAAAGGTATATGCACGTCGCCTCAGGTACATATGCCAGTAAACTTAAGTTTAAGAGAGAGCACTTTAGGAGAGAATCAGTGCATTTCTGTAGGGCATTCCGAATCTCTCCCGCTCACGAGAAGCCAGGCTCGTCATCAGTATAGCGGAGTTAGAGGAAACTTGTGTCCGAGCCACTCGGAATGATAGATGAAGGCGTTATTTTGCGATTTTACTCGTCAATTCGGAGATGCGAGGCTTTAAAGAAGTCTGAACGATTCAGGAGAAAAATGCTTCGCGGCATTCGCTGACACGTGCTATATGAACGCACTGTCTTGTTCGTAAGAATGATTTTCAATGTCGCTAAAACACGTTATTAGAATCCTTGATAATTCTGTTTAATATTTGATTAGTGTTCTTCGCGACAAAATTTCTCTTTTGCACCGCACGTGCAAATAATTTCCGATAAAAATTAATAGTAAGTTCGTTCGCGCGTTTCAAGCGGATATACAAAGGAAATTTGTATCACTATTAAAGTAACGCCTTCAAATATCGTTAATTGGTTTTGTTGTCAATCATTGCTACATACAGAAATCTGAAAGATAATGGTTCCTGCACCGTTACATTTCTGCTGGCATCAGAACAACATTAGTCCTTCGGATTTTTTATATAGACACTTTTCTACACGAGAACATCGGGCCTGTGCATTCGTATGGAAACGCATCTAGCTGTATACTGCGTGACAATTCGAGCGCTAAATTGGATTCTGAATTGTACGAATCAGCACTGTTTCTATTATCTTACAGATCTCAGATATATATTGAAAGTTATTTTTGTAAAGAAAAGAAGAAATGCATTCACATTCCCATAAACGAGAGCCAGAATGGCCTGACACTGTAACTACCTTTCATGTAATACATGTATTGTTCATTGAGCATAATTGAAGGTTAATATGAGTGTATACAGTGAATGTTATTTTTCGTGTAATAATTAACTGCAAGAGTTACGGTAATTGTATAGCTCTTGGCTATCACGGGAGTAAATTGATATACAAGTAAGGAAATATATATTTGACGTTAATGTAATAACAATATTCTACTATATATTACACTGTTGTCTGTTGTATGTTTACTGGGCACCGACGCCCGAGAAATTTAATCAAATATTATGTATATTGCATAAATTATTATTTTATATTCATCGTTGTATATATATTTTAACTAATTTTCAATTAGAAATACACACAACTTATCTTACCTGAAACTACAAATAATCGATCGTCATTTACAAGCGGGTTTACATTCCACGCAGGTGATTCTCGTCTTTTCTTTCTGATAATTCGTTCGTCGAGTTTTGTAAAATAAACATGCGCATGTGTTACATCCGCATTGTGCGTCTGCCATGATGAAATAATTTGTTTAGTTTTTATCATCTCTCGACGTGTGTGTAGGAAATATTTTAAGTTTTACTCGCGCATACTCTGCAACGCTAATCGATATTCATTTTTATATACTCTGACGTGAAATCGATTATGGAATTTGGAATGTAAGAAGTCTCTTCCTCGAGAGAATTTTATTGCATTATATATATTATAAAAAAAATATATATATATATCTGGAAACAACAAATCATAAGTGACGCAGTAGCGTCATGACGTCAAAGTATATAAAAGTATATAAAAATGTCAGCGGACGACACGACCGGCATTCGTTCTTCTAGGAAACATTTGCGCATTCATCATGATCGAACGAAATTAAAAAATACGTGAAATAAGTGAACGCATATCATTTCAACTTTGAACAGTCAATATGTATGTCAAGTGACGTTTTCGTGAAGCGTTGCTTTACTTTTTACTCGGTTGTAATGATTAATGGTATAAGCGCAAATAAATTGTTAAGATGTCATAGAAAATTTTACTTGCACAAGATTAATCTCAATAAATTACTGCGGACTCTAAAAAAGGATATTCGATATACATCTTGTAAAAAAAATATATAAAGCAATCTTCAAACTCACGTGCAACATTATACTTCAATAAATCTATATTTTTTTTTCGCTGCAAACATATAAAGTATTCATTGTACGATAACTGATCAATCGTCATATAAATCTATGCATCTTTGTTGATATCCTGCAATTCTACGGAGAGGCATAGTACATGTCCAAATGATCAGCGTTAATTGTATCAAAAAATGTCTTTATTTCTTTGCTGTATTTTATGATTGAGCAACCGAACTGCAAAAAATGCATACATATGAAAACTTACGTTACCTTACGCTTCCGATCGCGTTCATTAATTACATTAGTACGTGCCAGAGAATCTGTTTTTATTTCATGATATAAATCGATTTTATTTTAATTACATTCCTTTAAACACGCCTTTCTGTTTAAAATTACCTTGTTTTCGTGACAGTTTTATGAACAGTGCATTGTATTACTCGCAAATGCGCACTCACTAATCAAATCGATAATTTGTTTGCAACAGTTTGCCACTTTTTTTGACGCACTAAGATCGGTCGTACTTTCCGACAGAGTCGTGAGAATGCTCAAAGCATTTTCAAACTGTTGCAGAGCGCTAATCAATTTGTTACGATCGTCCGGATCTGGTGTAGCAGCCAATAACGTTCCCAGTCCAACTAGAACTCTGAATATCGCCTCGGATTCACTTAAATGGGGTAATATGGTGAACAATACATTCAGAGCTCTTGTTCTACCAGGCATATCGTTATACTTATTTAACGCTATGATCAGATTCAATATATACGTTGATATCGCAACCTGGAAAAATATCTTATTTTGGAAATCATTCTTTTGTTTTCCGATTTTGATTTCGTAAAATATTGCTTTATATCAAAATCCATAGAATTGTATTTTAGATTTTTAAATTATTCTTTTTATGGTTTCCAACTCAGACAACACCACAGATCTTCAATAATATATGATACTGGTATCTTTTTTCCTTTATGGCAAGATTTTTTATGCTACGAAGCTTGGGAAGTAGAATATAAAAATCTCACAACAACTAATCTTCCTGTGTAAACATCGTAAAGATGTATCTCGTTTTCTCCATTATGTATTTAATCACGAAACAATTATTTTAATAATTGCTCGATTACATACCTGATTATTTTTATTTCCGAAAGACTGTAGATTCAGCAAAAAGCCAAACATCTCATCCCTATGATCCAGACATAGTTTCTCTCCTTTTTCATGTTGGAACATATTGGCTAATAGCCGAAAGGTGAGCATTTGATTCGACGAAACTGCGTCGGATTTGATGTGTTTTCGTATAACTGGCAGCAATTCTTCTGTACACAGTTGTTCATTCACTTCTTTGTGAAGTACGGTGAGCCTTGCTATATCAAGAGCCGGAAATACTGTGTCGTTCGGCCAATTCAGAATATTTTTCAATGTACCAATAGCATTACTTCGAGCTTCTTCGGTCACTCCGTCGCTCGTAAGTTTACCTAATGCTTCCAACTTTTCCTCTGATATTTTATACATACTTTCTTGCTTGGTGTTTAGCTCGCGTAATTTATCTGTAACGGCATTAAGAAAAAATAATTCCAGTGTATTTAATACTTTATATATACATATATGTGTATGTGTATGTGTGTATGTATATATATATATATATATATATATATATATATATATATATATATATATATATATATCGGACAATATTCAATAAATTACCTAAAATGACAGATAGGTTCGCTTGTTCTAATTTCAAATATTTTAAGTGAGGTATGTAAGAGGGGGATATAGACGTGTTGGAAGAACACAACGGTGATTGTACGGTAAAATCGGATGTACTCGACGATGTTCCCGATCCAGGAACGTATCTGCTCCCTCCTGTAAAAGGATCTACAAACTGTGATCCAGTATTCAAGACTGGAGCTGGCTCAGAATTTTTTACAATAAAATTTGCAACCTGAAGCAAAGTAAAATCAATTCTGATTTTCCCTTCAAATTTATCGTTTCACGATTTATTTGAATAAACGAGAAAGAAAATGCGCGAGGCAATAATTTTTCGTTAAATACATAACATTGCACGAAAACTGAATCAGCACTCTTCAAGATCTCTCATACCTGATCTAAAAACAATTGACTGAGATTATTGTCGTGCAGGAACTTTTGTGCGACGTGCCAGGGATCCTGACCCTTATTATATGGCAGTTTCAACGGTGGTACGCCGTCTTGTATGTCGACCGAGAATACGTAATCGTACTCTATACCGTTGTACAGCTGCTTTCCGGAGGTAGCCGCAGTGCTACCAGAAGCACCCATTACATCACCGATTCGTATCCATCGTTGTTCATTCTGCGACCAATTGTACGCCCTAACTACATCCCCTTCATTCACGATCTTTGTTTGCCCGTCTCGTTGGCCAGGCTGAAGAAGAACTTTTGAATCCGGTAAACTGTTGACAACACCAACGAAATTAAATGTTTAAGACTCTTGAGCTACTTGCCGTGGTCATCTTGATGTATGATATCAGAAGCAAGGAAATATATATGCCCAAAATGCATACGAAGTACGTTAAAATAAAAAAATACATCTGAAAACTAACACTTGCAATTAATTAAGCACACTTTGGAAATATTTTCCTTCTTTGCTTTAACAATTAATAAATAATCTAGAAGTAACGTGACAGAATAATAAAAAAAATTTAGTTTAAAAAAGAAGGTTGCATGTCATATTAACTTTACGATTATTTATTGATTGTTAGAGTAAAAGTGTTGAAAATATTTTTAAAATATGCCAGAAAAAACATGATAAAAATTTTTGCAAAATACGTTCAAATAAAAAATAAATGTATCTAGAAAAATTTGACCATTTTGCACATCTGCTTGATCGATTGCAAGTATCATTTTGTGGATACATCTTTTTATTTCTACATATTTCGTAAAAATTCTTAGAGTGTGTATTTTCTCACATTTTAATGTCACAAATCAAGATGATTGCGATCAAGAGTAATAAGTAGAAGGATTACTTTGTCCTAAAACAAAACGTACTCACTCTTTTACGTTCATGTCCCCGATTACCTGCTGTGCATTCAGAGTGGTGCTTGCCACTTCCTTCTCAAACGCCTCCAACATCTCCATACTGGCGTAACGTTCGGGGTTGGATGAAAATATCCTCACGGCACCATCAGAACTGCCGGCGATTACGTCGCCGTTTGCGAACAAATCGATACACCATATCGACTGCGTGGGCAAAACGATAGTTTGACTTATTTCCGCATTATGCCATACTCTGATTGTTCTGTCTTCGCCGGACGAAAAGACGTACGTGCCGTTCATAATAGCTGCTATGCTGTAAATATAATTTTCGTGACCACAATAAGTGCCTAAACAAGTTCCAAGCTTGGCATTCCAGTGCCTTATAGTGGCGTCGTTCGCGCAAGTTATAAACTCGTTCTCTTTGATATTACTTATGTCACGGACGCAGTCAGTATGCCCTGTTAATTTGTGTTGTACAGTACCATCTCTGCTCCACACTATTACCAGCTTGTCAGCTGATCCAGTTATTATGTTGCCATTTGGTAAATCAGCCACACACCATACCGCAGCTGTATGACCCATGAGATTTAATTGTGGTTTACTCAAATCGTTTAAGTCCCATAATTTAGCTGTGAGGTCCCATGAACTGGAGAGAAAGGTATTCTCTTTCTTGCCAGTCCTCAAATTGCACACAGTGTTCTGGTGTGCTGTTATTGTATGCATAGGCACTGTCTCATTCGCAGCATAGATGCGTATAGTGTTGTCATTGCTGCCAGTAATGATATAACCATTGGGATTTTTTTCTGATGGATCTATGGTACATACTGCACTTACAAAGTTGGAGTGATCTTTGAGCACTGTACTTTGAACATATTCATTTCCTTTCCTGTAAGAAATCAATAAGATATTTTATGTAATTCTTTACAAAGTAATTCATAATAATTTCTTAACACAAAATTAAAAATATCTGTTAATATTCAGTATTTTATTGAGAATTCTGCTATCTGAGGATAATTTACAATAGAGTATCTCACCAACAATGTTTATGTATTACTATTTATCGTTTGACCAATGAGATAATTAAAATGAGTATAATTTTCTGAATGGCTTTTATTGTGCAATAAGATAAAATAAATAATATTTAAACTTTCAACATATATGTATATATTCAATATATATTTTTTATATTGAAAGTTTAATTATTTGTATTTAAAGATCAAAACAATAAGAATGTCTAGAATTAGGTGCCAGTATTATTAGTGACCAGGCATTGATATTTTCACTTCAAATATAAAATTAAAAGTGCAGCTCTAAATGAATGTTTATCCCACTCTCAGAGCTTAAAATCTAAAGTCTGATCTACAATATGCTCTTTGTTTCCTGTTTCTTGTTCTTTTTGTGGTTAAAAGCTTTGGGTTAAAATCAGAAAAAAATAAAGAGAAAGAAATAGGGAGCAAAGAGTATATTGTAGGTCGAGGCTAATAGCAATGCCTAGTATGCATATAGCTTCTCACACACACATGCATACAACAAGAAAAAGAATAGATTTTGAAAGTAGTAAAGTTAAGATGACAGAGAGCAACGCAAAAATAGATTAAGGAGATTAAATGACAAATTTATATGTGCGTGTTATAGTTGTATTTGCGATCAAGGACCAACCCGGTTGGTTTCCATACGCGGGCGGTCTTGTCCCGGGAGACTGACACGACGGTGCCGTCCGTGAAGGTAGCTACTGCTCTCACGTCCGCAGTATGTCCAAGCAATACACTGCTTAGTTTGTATGGTAGCTGCTTGTCCATCGCAAACGTGGTGTGATCTTGCTCGACGACAAGTCCAATTACGTCAACTTCGCGCGATTACGCGATTCACGCCCCGCATAAATCTCACTACACGCTTTTACGACGCGATGACAGACGCAATCCAAGTCGCGCACGCGCCATGAATTTTATGCAATTCTGACACACTCGGCTTGTCGTGTCAGTTGATCTGTTCCTTTCAGCTGTACTGCTGCACTGGTGCAATAACTTAGAGTGAGACAAATATATTTTATCTCACTTTAATTTACTGTACCAGTGTAGCAGTGCAGTTAAAAGACAGAAAAACAGCTTACTTGTCGGAACTCCAAAGCACATCACTGCGTCGTGTTTGTAATTAGATATTTCCGAGTCGAAAGTTCTCTTACATTAAGTTGCTATTACACTAAAAATATAATTGAAATTAATATTAAGAAAGATACGATTGAAATAAAATAATCGACACTTAAGCCAACAACACATGATGCTTATTTTCGTGGTGGATCGCTTGCTGTATGGAAACACTTTGTTTTGATTGGTGTATTTCCATCCATTTTCAGAGATGCACCAATCAGAATAGAGTATTTCTACCCAACAAGCAAACCAGCACGAAACAAACATCGTGTGCCGCTGGTTTAAGCCTATTCTACAATATGTCGTATGTCGCTGTCGTATGTCGGAGTGCAGCCGATGGGCCAATCAGAGGTTTCGTTTTTCGAGACAAGTTCTTTTCATTGGACCTCGACTGTGTTCCGACATACGACGTATTGTAGAACGGGCCTTCGTGATAGAAGAAACATTGCTCCGAGTGCAGAAAGAGCAGGTAGAACGAATATATCTAGGTAGGATTTGCTTACATAGCAAATGTTATGTCTATTCTTTATAGATTGCACTTTTTGAATTATCTCGCAAATTGTCTATTTCCTTTTCTCTTTCACCAAATTTCAAATGTGCATCTATTCCATTTTCAGTGCAGACAGTGCAGCTCAATGCAGTTATAAAGAACAGACTTGCTCTGAAGCTTCCACTGAAATATATACTACCTGGAACGCGCGTTCTCTTGAGTGTTGCGGAATGAGAGAGAGCACGCTTGTAAGTCTCGAACAGCGCTCTGTCTTTGTCTAGTACAGTCTAAATCAAAAGCTAAGTCGATTGATTTCTAAACATAAGCTGAATCTCCGAATTAAGAACCATCTTTGCTTTGTTTTTCTTAATAAGTCGATAAGTGAATATTAATAAATGAGAAAAAATATATTTATATATATTTTTTATATCCTAAAAATTTCTTTCATAAGCTTAAGTCACTGCCATTTAGTGGTCACTTTTCATATTATCTTTAACTTTTAACTTGGACTGTATCATTCTCCCCACTCTCGACTATACTACGAACCAGACAAAGATAAGAGAAGAAACAAGGAACCTCTCTCTCATCCCGCATGTCTCAAGAGCGTTCCAGGTAGTATATATTTCAATGGAAGCTTCAAAAAATCCAACATGATTGATCTATCTGTTGTTTTGAATATTATAATGCTAAACGAAGCATAACGAATCTCTGATACGTTTATGCATCATGATTATCGTGTTCACAGTTTGATATTATTGATTTTTGATATTGTATTATTTGATTTAATATTGTATAACTCGTTATTTATTTATTTTTTTTAATATTAAGTTCAACTTTTATACGCATCGATACTGTAGTAGTAAGAGCGCCTACGCATGCGCAGTCACGACCTTTATCATACGGTGTCGCGGCCGTTCGAAATCGCCTCGTGTCCCTCCGTGCTTTCGTGCGAAAGTTTGCGTCGCGTGTGCAGAAATATGTAACCAGAATGTCGAATAAAATGTCGCATGATATCGGCGTTAGCGAGAAGGGCTTGTCAGCACGATACGTCTACGCTCAAGTAAGTTATTTTTCGCAGTAAGTCTCAATGATCACGCTGTTTCCGTTGAGAGGTTTGAATGGAACTTGTCGCGTTGTCTTGTGCCGTATCTTATTTGTTGAACAATCTGTCGCGTGCCAAGTGAAAAGTAATCGGACAATCAATGCAAGCACGAATACATGACAATGAGACGCGTGATCGTGCGATTCAATCGCGGTGGCTAAAGCGATATCGACATGAAGTTGTCAGCGCGTCGTTTCGTTTCCTCCTTATTTATACATAGCGATTATCGAAGGAATGTCAAGAGCGATCGACCAATCAGCGCATTCTGAGTATGCCGGTTAGCCGGCGAGCCCTTTCCGACTTTCGCATTATGGCGGTTCGGACGTTATTGCGAGTCGTCGTCGCGTTCGCTTCGTTCTCTCCTCTCTCGAAGACGTGTCGCGCGCGAAGTGGACATTAGACCTGCAGTTAGGACCGCTGAATTCGGTGTCGAGTGATCGTTATGAACTACAAGCGCGCGACGATAAGCTACTTTCGGCGATTACGTGACTCGCTTTCTGCCGGTTTAGAAAGAAGTTGGCGGCGCGTTGTTTTCTCTCTCATCCACTGGAAAAGTGTCTTACGCAGTGAGGGCCGGTTTTTCCAACCTTTTGTTAAGCTACCTAACAGTTAACTCATACGTCTGTCTTTGTTTCTCCTTTAAATTAGATAGAAACAGACATAAGATTTAACTGTTAGTTAGCTTAGCAAGAGGTTGGATAAACCGACCCTGAGTACTGAAAGTGCCGAATTCTATCAAACGTGCGACTACGAATGTTACGATAAACTGTGCGACTAGCGTTGTTGTGGTTTGAAAATTAGTTTAAAGTAGCTATCGTGTCGTTCAGTCTTTCGTTCGCTGAGAAACGTATCGCGCGCGAAGTGAAGTGTCGCAAGTCATTGTTATCGAATTTATTGTGGCGGGACTGCGTCAATTATTGTTGCGGGACAAAGACGTGAAGATAAGGTATTTTTTTGTAACATTGAGTGACTCGTAAAATAACGATTCAGATATTGGCGCAAAATTGTTGTCGCACCCTTATAGAAATATCATACTAAGAATCATTGATAATTACTTATTTTCAGTATTAAAAATACTGGATAATAAGTAATTATCAATGATTCTTAGTATGATATTTCTATAAGGGCAGTCGTTCCGTCTGCTTTCGCTCACTCGGAGAGGTGTCGCGCGTGTAGCGCATAGTGCCGGGAGTATCGAATTCTGTATCGAACACGAGCGAGGATGAACTGTGCGATTCGCATTGCGACGGACTGGAAATCAGCGCGAAATTGCTGTCGCGTCATTTCGCGTTCGATTTGCATGAAAATGCACTGCGCGTGAAGTGAATATCGGGAGTGTCGAATCGCTCCAATGTAGCGTGATCCTCATCACGATGAGTCGGACATCGCAACCAGGATGATACTGTGAGTGCAACCGGAATCGTAGGTCAAAGGATCGAGCAATTGTTCTCATAGATCTGCCAAGTAAGTGGTAATATGAAACATTTATTTATGATATACTATTTGTGTTACACTGAAAGAAAAAATACCTGAAGAATAAAAAAATATTCGGTGGGTACTAATATTTACTTAATATCTAAATATATTTATTTAAATAGAATAAACAATTTCTTTCATGAAAAGATACTTTAGGTAGTATCTGCACAAAGTTTTTAAATATATTCATATTTTATTTGAAAAGTTAAAAGTTTAAGAGTATAATTGGTATATTTTATATATTTAATGTATAATGTATAAAATATATATTTTATATTTGAGAAATATTTTATACTAATATAAGTATTCTCACAGATAGACTTTTATGATTATTAGGAAACAATCAATGTTGGAAATTTTACAATTCCTTCAGTTGTGTTGACAAAGCTAATATTGCTATATATTGGCATTAGCCAATACACAGTATTCAATATTGTATTAAATTAATCAATATAGATCATTCATAAAGAATGCAATGTTTACAAATAGTCTGGTAAAATGTTACTACCAAATTTATCTATTTATATGTTGATAAACATGACTGGTATTTGTAAATATATAGATAGACAGATATATGCAAACTTTACATTAATTGTAATTATATTAAATTATAAAATTTAGCAACGTTGAGTTCCTTGTGTCTGATTAGATTGTATTTATCATATAGAATGACAAAATAAAGATATAAAAAAATGATCAAAATTTTCCCCAAACAGTATGTACTGTTGAATGTAATAGGAAAATTTGAGTATAACTTTTAGTACATTTGTTGCTATATCATAAAAAATTTACATTATTATATGATGTGAATTTAATAACTAATTCAATATAGTATATTTACTACATAAATGTAATGAAAATAATTGTAAAATTTTCAACATTGATTGTTTCATGTTGTGACAATCATGAAAGTTTATATGGGTGGGTAAATATATAATTAGTGTATCCAAATAAATTTAATTTTTTAGATATTTTTTCTCTTAGTGTAGAAATATCTGCACACGAATTTTGCTTGAGCAGACAAGAAATTGCAGACTCCTCCCAAATTATTAAAAGATGTCTTTAAGACATCTTTTAGTAGATTGCGCTGTTTGAGCTAATTTTTTAAAAACTGCATGAAACACAATTTGTTATTTAGATAAGATTTTTTTTGTATTAAACTTGTACATTCAACAAATACCTTATAAGATACTTATGTCTCTTACATATCTCTTTGTCTAAACTTACGATATCTGATGACTGAACGGTCATCGTAATAAATATAGGAAATTGCGAAATGCGTCTAAGATAAAACCTAATGTAAATAAAATTACTATGTTGCGACATGTATGTCACGGACGCAAAGAATAATATGCTGAAAAGTGCAACTGCGCAGAAACATCTTCGATCGCTCGCAGTTTAATATCTACGGTTAATACTAGTGATAAGTTGCCCTAAGTACTTCAAGATGTTAACTTTACAACTAATAACCTCGTCCGAGAATACTCGATATAAACGACGAGTGGCAAAATCGCATTAAATCGTCAGAGCTCACACATAGAGCTCACGAATACAACGACGATAACATGTCAATTATACATACACAAAAATGTTTGTGTAATATATTATACAAAGTGTGGCTCGTGGAAAATAGGGGATCGATAACAGAAATATCTATTTGTGCAAGTCAAACAAAAACTTCATTAGGGAAATATTTAATGCTGTTTAACATTGCAACAAAAAGCCTCAATGAATTAAGTTTCGAGGAATAGAACATTTGTTTTATTTCAATTAAGAAATAGATTTTATCTTAATGGAAATTTACAAAATCTACGATTTATAGTTGCCGTTCAATAATACTACTATATAATACTACATGTAAAGTAGCCGGAACAGGCAACAGTTTCCATTAGAAATTAAGGAAAAATGTACTAACAAATTTCTCGAAAAATATAAGTACTATTGATTCCCAATTTTATGAGACACTTTATGTATAATATCATTTATTCATTTTCGTATCTCAACAGAATACTTTAAGAATTATTCTAAGAAGCGGGTCTTAACAAAAGCCGTCAACAATAAAAAAAGAAGAAGTGAAAAGCGGGTTCTCGGTAAAGCTATCGATATTTTCTTTTTCGTAATGCGTCAATCAAGTAGTTACTTAATTAAAAACTAGATCAAGCGTGTGAGACAATTTAGCGTAATGCTACAATTTACTCTTATGGAGTAATCTGAAATTTCAGATCGACATTTGCATAGGAATTATCATATGCCTTATACATCAAAGACAGTTAAACGATCTTTAACACGAAGTAAACTTCATACGAGTAGAACTAATTAACTTTCGAATATGTTGTTATATTTCATTTTCTTTCTATTTACATACGCGCACCGTGTGACACAGATTTCTTCTTATAAAAGTTCTTTACCAAAAACGATATATACAAGTGTCTCGCTTCTACCACATTATCTTATAATAGCAGATTGCTTCAATAATTTGAAGATTTATTTTTAGCGAAAATATCGATATGTCGACATAAATGACGGTGATAGTTTTTTGTAGTCATTTAATTTGTTATATTTCGTATATATCTTTGTAATAAAGTTCCCCTAATTTTATTAAAAAATAGGGTTTCATTAAAATTTTAAACTATAATTAAAATAAAAAATTAAATAATTAAAATTTAAAATTATTAAAAAACATACACAAACTCTAATTAACTAAAGCATGTAGAAACCTTTCATTCTTTCATCGTTTATAACTTGAAAATTATCGGTTCTTTGACGTTTTCGCTAAGGAAAGTCCAGTTTCAAATTAGTTCAAGAAATTGTCATTAAAAAATAATGCGGTAAAAGGGGAGGCACTCTGTATATATAATATACAGTGTGTATGCCGCACGCCTAAGAGCACAGTTCGAATCGATCTTCACGGATTCCCTCGTACAAAGAATTTTCTCTTAGATTTTTCGCACCTCATGTGCTATTGCAAAATCCATTCGTCAGGTTTCACTCCTAAGTAGCGTCACTGATAAAATACTCTCTGCTACGATAATACGTCCAGCAGGATACCATATAATGGAATTACAAGTGAATTATCCCCAATTCTGCAAGAGTGTAATTAATGACTCCTTTTTCATTCGTTAATCCTAGAAGTCTAAATATTCCGAAATGCAACATAGAATCTTATAGAAAAAAAAAATAATTTAATCTTATGTTGAGATATGTTAAGTTTAACGATACAACAAAAATATCTGAGAATTGCAATAACAGAAGTTACCTTACAGTTGTGAAAGCAAGAGAAAGATAACATCGTGCATTCGTGTATAATTTTAATCTTACTCTTGTAAGATATTATACGGAAGGATATTGACGAAATTGAGTCTCAACGAAATAAGAGACGCGAAATCGCGACTTCTAGGATTTAGGACAATCCGGGGAAAGTATATAACGGAGTCAGTCGATGTCGGATTTGTCTCAGATCTACCATACGGCACACTTTTTCGCGGGATTCATTTTAGAGCCGAGTGGACAGTTGAAGTCTCGCGCAAACGCCTCCATGTTCGACAACGGTCCCAGAACGCGGAACTCGCTGGGGCTGTGGAATCCGGTTGTGATGCGCAGCTTCATCGCTTCCGGCCGATATTTGCTGCACCACGTGTTGGCGGCACTTATCCAGAACATTTGTTCTGGGCTGTAGGGCAGACCCGGCAGTTTTTGTTCCTGTCCGTTTCGCTTGACCCATTCCTTGTACGCGAGATAGGCTTCCTTTATGCCGCCATTATCGGCAATATTCTCGCCTTGGGTGTTTATCCCGTTCAACTACAAAAATATAAAATAATGTAGATCAATGAAGTCACGGCAAAATTTCCATTCATGAGACGGAGAGAGTAATTATTACGATATAAAATATTTTTATGCATGTTTATGAAGGACTGTCTTTATTTCACACAAAGAAAATCTGATTTCTTTCCTTTACTTAGAGCTGCGATAGAGACGCGAGACGTTCTTGAGATACTGAGTGTTTTATGATCCATTGCTCTTGGGTAGTTATACGCTGGTTAAGAAAGAGAGATATTCTACACATACACACGAGTATGACCTCGTTGAAAAAGTTCACTTATCGTCGCAACTCGATACTCTTATCGCACGTGAATATTCCATTATAGCATTCGTGCAGCATACTGTGGCATATAATGAATTCACTTGAATAGGAATTATTTTTGCGACCACATATATGGAACAGTCTTTTATATAGCGAATGCAATGCAAAGAAAGCAATGAATCAAGTAATAAAAAATAACAGTTCCTTTCGCGGACGTTAATCATTAACGTAAGAAGTTAGCGATTTGCGAAACAATTCCTGTTCACGTTTCTTCAGCATCTCTTTGTAACTTCCGCATCAATTTCTTAGAGGAAATTTCATATAGCAAGGTGAATGACGGTAATAAAGTAGAAAAAGATGTATGATTCATCTTACGTTCATTCCGACGTCTTTCACGGTGAAATTTCCATACTGATAAATTATACACTCGGCCCTCTTGAGATACTGCTCCTTCGTCTCTAACTCCCACCAGTCGACGAGATTACCTTCCTTGTTGAATTGCCTGCCTTGATCATCGAAACCATGAGTAATCTCGTGGCCAATGACAAAACCGATAGCACCGTAGTTCATGTAGCGTGGTCGATCGTTGCTGAAGAATGCACCTTGCAAAATACCCGCGGGGAATTCTGGAAATGAAAATTCGCATACAAGAATATAAATTATATAGAATATAAATTCTTAAATTTTTAATTAAGAAGTTGGCAAAAATATTGGGGATACAAACATAAATTTTGATAATTGCTTCTTTTTTCTCTCTGAAATAGATCTGAACACTTAACAAAACACTTACGAATACTATTCTCAATCGACGAGTAGAAAGCGTTTACAATAGCCGGCCTTCCGTGAGTTATCCATTCAGTTTTGTTCACCGGTTTTCTTAGCCTGCCAAAGGAGAAGTCTGTTCCAAAGATCGTCAGGTTCAAAATGCTTCCTAAATAATCGTCGGGATTCAATTCCAGTCGTGAGTAGAACTCGTCCAGCTTCTTGTCATCCAGTAGCTCATCTGGATAAGCAATATGTGACACCATACCGGCTGCTTTGTCCAACGCGTTCAGTCTCGTTTTCTCATCCATCCATTCCACCTAAAAACGCGCGTAATTTCGTTGAAAGATTTATCAGAGAATCGAAACATACCCACAATGCTCCAAGAATTTCTAGAAATAATAGCAACTTTGATAGCAAGGCATTCATTCTTTCAAGATTTTAATTTGTCGATAAAGAGACGTCGAGAATTTCGTTTCCGAGACTTCAATTCTCAAATGGAAGAAAGATCTTCACGCGCGCGTGCGCGCCAGGATCTCTATTTCCAAGATTTCAATTTCTAGATAAGAAGAAACGATCCATCTCGAGACTTCAATCTCGCGCGATTTTAACTATCAGTTTTCGCGTATTCTCACCTTCTTCAGGATCTTCGTGAACTCCTCCCTGATATCGCCGACCATCTCGAGCGCGGTCTTCTTCGCGTCCTCCTTGAAGTACTTCCTCACGTACATCGAGCCGACGCTGATTGCCATACTACCAGATACGATATCGACGCATTCCTTCCACCTCGGTTCTCTCTCTGTTTTACCGTTCAAATGTATCGTGTACATCAGTTGTCTCTTACGGATGTCGTCTGTAAGATAGCTGACCGACGCGGCGGCCGCCCTCCAAAACGCGTAATTCGCTTGCACTCTCTTCGGTGTATGCTGGATCAGATCCTCAAAGTTTTTCAAATAGCTGGGTACGTTCACGATAATCACCTCGTCCCGATTTATGCGCGCTTGCGGTGCGAGAATGGTGTTGAAGTATTCCCTCCATGGTATGCTGGGGTAAGCTTGGGATAGTTCGTCCACGGTCATAGGATTGTACAGAAGGGTCACGTTCCGCCGTTTCTCGTTGGGCAATGAGATCTGTGTGCGCACATTGATTTTATCATTCAATAACTTTGACTTACTCATCAATTAATAATGATAGATTGACTTTAATTGATGCCAATTAACATGTACGCAGTAATTCTCTTTAATGGATAACGGAACACTAACTCAACGCAGAAAAAACGTCTCTTTGTAGTATCTATATTTGTATAAAATCTACATTGTATATACTTTCTATTTCCTTCAATTTTTTAATTTTTTCTACTTTCTTTCAATTAAATAATTATAAATTCAATTTTCGTGTTCTACTTCGGTGTAAAAGACGTTTACAACGAACATTACGTTCCTCCTTTCATCAAGATCGCGTCTCAATTATTTTTTTCATAATGATGTTATATTTTATAATGATATCATATAATGAGACTTACATTTGCAAGCTTGATTTCAAATTCGAGCGACTCCTTCAATTCTGTCTTGGCCCGTTCTGAGTCGGCGCCGAGGATCACAGCGATGTCCACCATGTACTTGTAATACTCCTGAACGATTTTCTCGTCCAGGCCCTTCGTCAGATATTCGCGTGAGAGACCGAGAGCTGCTTGGTCCAACTGTAGACGTGAACGTCAATTGAATTCGCGATTTGTCGATACGAATATTGCATACTCGACTTGAACAAAAGTCTATAATTTACAAAATTTGCTTCACACACGGTTTCATAAATTATAAATTGTGATTTTATAAATTATTTTCTTCGCGTTCGTTTGAGGAGTCCATCGTTTAGGGTTTATTGGTAATAACATACGTCAATTAAACGTCGCGAATTGTTCTTCAAATCGACGCTAACGCCAAAGTCGATGAAATAGTCCACGGAGTAGCCCAGTTTGCGGAATCTATAGACGAAATCCTTCCAAGTGAAGTCGCCGTCGTTCCATCGTTCTCCATCCAGAACCGGCCAGCCACCGAGTTTTCTCAGATTGTCAAGCAACGGTTGGAAGCCTCGCTTCTCGATAGCGGCTGAAAGAAAGAGCGAATGTAGAGTCGGTTGCGAAAGTGTTCTCCGATTTAACGCACGACTGTCAGTTCCGTAAACATTAAAAAAAATACAACGACCCAGTTTCAACGTCACTTATGAATCGTTATGAAATCCTTATAGATATTGTTTCGCGATTATGCACGGTAAGCATTGTTATACGACCGTCAGACTTTAAACTCTTTTACTGGCGCTGCACGTACAGGTCCGTTAAAAATAATTACATTTTTAACGATAGCTACACGTCAAATCTATTTCTAGTTGCAATCTTACAATTTTAGAATGGTTTCTAATTACAAATCATGAATGTATCATTCTTTTGTACGAAAATGCTACTATGAAAGGGTAAATTAATAATTTCGTATAATTTCGTTTGAATTCCAAATGTTAATAATTTCTGTATAATCATTTCTCATTTGTCGAATTCCGAATATTTGTCGAATATGGTAAACAGTATCAATGCTTGGGTACGTATCTAATCTTAGACATTCTTATTGTTTTAGCCTTTTTTTTTAAACACGAATATTTAAACTTCCAATATAAAATATATTATATACATATTGAATATATTCATACATGTATTCTATATTGAAATACATATATTCTATATTGAAAGTTTAATAACTCGTATGTAAGGATCATAATAATAAGAATATTCAGAATTAAATTCGAGCTTAGAGTACTTTTACCCTAAGTCTGTCGTACTTTTCGAATCTGGTCGCGATGTGTGCGCAAAAAGATCGGCATACGACTGCTTACTTTTATTCATGCAAGCCTTGTAGAAGTCTTTGGCGAGCTTAAACGGCCTCGGCTCGTTTGGAAGACTTTCCTGCTCGATGCTGGATCGCAGTTGTTCCTCGAGAACGTCGACAATGATAGAGAATGTATTGACGCTGGTTTTGTCGTCGGGAATGATGGTGTTGTCGAGGAAGCCGCCGCAGGCGAATTTGTAAAAGTCATCGCAAGGCTCCACATCGGAGTTCATGTTTTTCAGTATCTGCGAAGCTGTGTTGCGTGCATTATATCGCGTAGATTAGTATGACTTGTTATCTTTTTGTCTCTCTCTCTCTCTCTCTCTCTCTCTCTCTCTCTCTCTCTCTCT